ACATGATAGAATATGTGGGACACATGTCAGTGGACATATGATGGTGAGACAGATCATGAAAGTAAGATACTACTGATTGATAATGGAGAGTGATTGCATTGACTATGCTTGTAAATGCCATAAATGCCAGATATATGTTGATAAGATCCATGCTCCGTCATCTGCTTTACATGTTATGGCACCACCTTGGCCATTCTCAATGTGGGGCATGAATGTTATTGGTCCTATCATCCCAAAGGCTTCTAATGGGCATAGATTTATTTTTGTGATGATAGATTACTTCACAAAATGGGTAGAGGCAGCATCATATGCAAATGTAATACGATTTGTGGTTTACAAGTTCATAAAAAAAAAAGATCATCTGTAGATATGAACTTTCAGATAGAATTGTTTCAGATAATGCCAAGAATCTAAATAGTAAGATGATGTAAAAAATATGTGCTCAATATAAGATTAAGCATCATAACTCGACACTATATCGTCCGAAAATGAATAGGACAGTTGAAGCAACCAACAAGAACATAAAAAAAATTCTTGAGAAGATGATCGAAACTTACAAAAACTGGCATGAGAAGTTACCATTTGCACTGCATACATATCAAACGTCAGTGCGTACCTCTACTAGAGTAACCCCATTTTTTTTAGTTTATGGGATGAAAGTTGTACTACCAATAGAAGTGGAGATCCCATCCTTGAGAGTTTTAAAAGAAGTTGAGTTAGAAGAAGCTGAATGAATTTAAGAACGCTACGAACAGTTAAATTTCATAGAAAAAAAAAGATTGACTGCATTGTACCATGGTCAGCTATATCAAAGAAGAATGATGAGGGCTCATGATAAAAAGATTCGACCCTGTTGGTTTCGAAAAGGAGAGTTGATCTTGAAAAGAATCCTCTCAATCTAGCACGATAATAGAAAAAAATGGACTCCGAATTGAAAAGAGTCGTATGTGGTGAAACGGATTTTCTCGAGTGAAGCACTGATACTGATTGAGATGGATGGAAATGATTTACCCCATCTTATAAATTTTGATGCTGTGAAGAAATATTATGCTTGAAAAAAAAAAAGAAAAAAATGAATGAAAAAGAAGGACTCAAGGCAAAAACCCTAAAAGGGCGGTTTGAGTCTAGGAGGTTTATCTAAGTTGAAAACCTAAAAAGGCAGCTTAGATAAGAAGAATACAACATCAAATTTGAAAATCCATTGGCATGAAGACTAGCAAATTCGAAGAGGCTTTAAGTTGTTGAACGCATTAGATAATTGGATTTTTAGAAAAACCTTAATGTGTGTTATCATGATTGTCTAATTGTTCATTTTTTGGCATGAAACTCCTCATACTTATCATTGTACTTCTTTCTTAGCCAAAGTTTGCTCACATTTCGCTAATAAAAGATATTCTATTTCACTCTTTGTATACCTCTTCTATTGATTGTTTCCCAACCATTCTTTCTTTTTTTTCTTAATATCCTACAATGGAATAAATGTGCAAATGCATTCTTACTTGTTGAGTTTGAAATAATGATTGATAAGTGAATAATGGCATGAAAAATTTTTACATTACATTGAAAAAGTCAAGAGTGATAAAGGCAGAATCGAGATGTTCAGTTCCTGATAAGGACATTAAATTTGGAAAGAGATTTCTTTTAGAAAGAATGTGAGTGGAAAAGATGATTGAGAGCTACACTGGCTCGATCTTAGAAGAGTAGTGTAATTTAGTCTTTGAAGAATCAAGGGTTCGAGGCCTAAAAAAGAAGCTTGAGAAACTTAAGTACCATAATTGAATAGGAATTAATTAGCCAGCAGTTGCATAGCATGCATTGAATTTCACATGCATTGCATAACATATACTACATTCAAGAAAATACAATGCATAAATTCAAGAAGCAGGGGTATTCCAACATCTCACATAGAGAAGACGGATGTGAAGACATTTTCAAATTTGAGAAAAAGCTTGTCAGGTAAGCTTCTAATCCTTGAAATAGGATGTCTATCGGTATCAAGGTTGATTTGTAAGACCTTTGGGCATAATCTCCTGAAATTCTTCAACTCCTTTGGACATGATTGTCAATGAGCAATTTATTTTTCAAAGTTGTGATGCTTCTAATTAGAGGAGCAATCTATTCTTCAAAGTTGTGATGCCTCTGATTAGATGAGTAATTTATTCTTCAAAGTTGTGATGCCTCTATTTAGAGGGGTAATTTATTTCAAAAGTTGTTGAGCCTCTGATTAGAGGAGCTTTGTTTATTTTTCAAAGTCGTAGAGCCTCTGATTAAAAGAATAATTTACTTTTCAAAAGTCGTTGAGCCTCTAATTAGAAGAGCCATTTATTTTCAAAGTCGTTGAGCCTATGATTAAATGAGCTTTATCTATTTATTTTCAAAGTCGTTGAGCCTCTGATTAGAAGAGCTTTGTTTATATTTTTCAAAGTTGTTGAGCCTCTGCTTAGAGGAATTTTGATCAAAATTTTAACGAAAAAAAGCAAAAAAAAAAAGGGTTGAGTGGAGTCTTGAATGGGTGTCTACGCCTTTGCGCAATTTTTGTTTCACAGAAAATGTGCAAAGAGGGGCAGCTGTAGACACCCAATTTGATCCAAGCCTAGATCAACTGGGCTTGATCCAAATAGGTAAGCCCATTTCAATTTGTTTTATTTTATTTTTTATTCTGTATTTTGTATTTTTTGTATTTTATTTATTTATTATTACTATTTATTAATATATATTTTTTTCCTTATCTGTTTATATATCTATTATTATTATTATTTATCTATTAATATTTTTATTTATCTAATTATTTTCTTTTAATTATCCATTAACATGTTTTTATTTGATTTGATTTTCTTTTTCTTCTTATTCTGCTGGGATTGGGATGAAAATTTGGAATTCCACCGTGAATTTGGGATTCAATCAAAGTCTATATTGGATTCAAGGATTGAATCCCAATCCAAAGAGGAGTTGAGATTGATCAAAAACTCTTCTGATTAATCCCTATAAATAGATCCACAAACCACAAAGACCAGAACAGGGAAACGCACGCACTAACTGAGAAAAAGAGTGAGAAGAGAAAGAAAAAGGCATTCAGAAGGGCTAGAAGCAATTTCAGAAATTTTTTAGAATTTTGGCAAATTTGTTCTGGAAATTTCTGGAAAATTTTCAGATTTCGATTGAATTTTTCGGTGAAGTTTAAATTTTCTGTGACTTTTTCGGTACCATTTGAATTTTTCAGCCAGCTACCCAATTTTTGACAACTATTTTCAGAAATCGATCAACTTTTCGATGAACTTTCAGTGAAAAACCTAAATTTCGATGATATTTTCCAGAATCTAACATAGGACATAGGTACTTCACTCCCCTCTGAAGGTAAAGCCAGTAGAGGCTTATGTTATGCACATGCAAATGAATTATAGATATAATAAGCAATATTTAAACAAATATAAGTAAAGATAGACAAATAAACAATAATAAAGTAAATATAAGCAAAGAGGTAATTTCAAATTTGTTAGACAAAGCTTGGATAATAAGAAATCTTTTACTGGCTTGACTCTCATAATGTCCCTAACGAAGTCGCTAAGCTGTTATAATGTATAGATCCATAGACCTACCGCTAGACTGAAAATGAAAATGAGTCGTCACTAATCTTTTTTGGTTAGGTGCGATTAGCCACCTAATTTAAGCTGTCATAACGTCTAGATCTGGGGATCTATCGTTAGACATTGGCTTTAGGAGTCGCTATTAATCTTTTTTATCTAGGTGCAATTGGCCACTTAAGGAATCTATCCTTTTAAGGAACACCTAAGTCTAAGGGTCCCTAAAAGAATAGGTTCAAGTCTACTAACCAGAACAAGATTCAGAAGTACAGTTACATGTGAGAAAGGTTATAGCACTCTCACAATGCCCATCGAAAGATGGTGCTAGCTTAATTTTGTATTATCTAATAAGCCTTAGAATTTTAATTTAAAAATTTACTAAGTAATTAATATTAAAAATTATTCTCAATTGACTCTAATACTTTTAGCACAAAATTGAAAAAATTTCGCACCTCAAGAGTATGTAAGGAAACTACTGTTTCACTTGCAGAGGCTCTATCGTCGGATTATTTAAAATTAAAGAAAATTCAAAAAGGAAAAGAAATAAAATGAAAAAAAAAAGAATAATGATTCAGATTTAGATATAAATCTTTTTCTCTTCAAAAACTCATTGTTTTTGTACAAAAAAAATTGATACTTTCAACTTTTTCTTAAAATATTTTGTTTTTAAGGAAAATTGGTACTTCCAACTTTTTTCAAAATATTTTTCTAAAACTTTAATTTTGAGAAAAATTGATACTTTCAACTTTTTCTCAAAAACATTTTTTTAGAAAATTATTTTCAAAGAAAATTGATACTTTCAACTTTTCCTTGAAAATATTTTTTAGAAAACTTATTTTCAAGAAAAATTGATACTTTCAACTTTTTCTCAAATATTATTTTTTAGAAAAACTTATTTTTAAGGAAAATTGATACTTTCAACTTTTTCTCAAAAATATTTTTTAGAAAATTTATTTTCAAGAAAAATTGATACTTTCAACTTTTTCTCGAAAATATTTTTTTAGAAAACTTATTTTCAAGGAAATTGATACTTTTAACTTTTTCCCAAAAATATATTTTTTAAAAATTTTATTCTTAAAGAAAATTGATACTTTCAACTTTTTCTCAAAAAAAAAATTTTTTTAATTTTATTTTCAAGAAAAATTGATACTTTTAATTTTTTCTCAAAAATATTTCTTTTTGAAAATTTTTATTTTTTATTTTATTTTTATTAAATTAAAACATGAAAAAAAAAAGATTCCTAAAAATAAATAACACATAAAAAAACAAATAAATAAACAAACAAATGAATAAAATACCAAAAAAAGAATAGCTCGGCTTGAGAAATTCAGCGTGGCTCAGCTCCAGGCATAAAGAACGGTTTGAAGGATGCGGCTTGGCGGTTCGGCTCGACTCCAAGGATCGGTGAATAAACAGGTCAAGCGTGAGTCAAAAACAGGCTGACGCTCAGGTTGCCAGCTAGAAAACGCGTGGATCTTGGTCCTTTCTTAACCAGATATAATTTTTTTCAAAAAATCTGCTCTTCAGGGTTTAGACTCTCAACATCCAGTGCTTGGTCATATTCTGTTAGTGAAAGGTGTGAAGATCGAAAGTTACCCCACTCCATGTTGATAACCATATTCCCTGATTTAGGTAAAAGATCGTGCCATTTAGGAATTGCAGGGGCACGCTCTACATAAGCTACATTTGTGCCTGTACCCAATATCACTGTAGCTATAACATCTGGGTTATTGCATCTACCATCGGCCAATGTACCAATTGTATCATTGACCAAAGCAGCCATACGCATGTCAAGGCCAACCCTTTCCATTGCTTTGGTTAATTCTCCTACAACATCTTGACCAACTGTGTCATCTATTGAGAAAACCTTTGTCCATTTTATAAGAGCCCCTAATGATATCGATGTTTGCCTAACAGGAAATGAGAAAGTAAACCCCAGCTCCCTTTGTTTACCAAGTGAAACATGTAAACCTTCACTTTTTGTAGCAACAAATTTTGCAAGGGCTAAAGTAATGTAATCAAATAATGCATCTGAAGACCCAGTCATCAAATGTGAAGGAATTGAAATTTCCTCAAATTTTTGCCTAACAACACGACCTTTTTTACCACTCAACTGTACGCGTAGGACACGAAAATTTGTGCCACCAAGGTCCAGGGCATCAAACAACCCTTTCTTATCACCAGTGGGGAGATTATCCACATAGCTGATAATCCCCTTGAGCTTGCTACCACCTTCTGATGTGAGCCCCGCATGCATCTCAACAGTTATAGCATCTGTCACCTGTTTTAGTTTTGAAATTAAGGTCCCACACTTTTCCTCGAATTCGTTCAGGATAGCTAGCGCCTGGGCCTGTTTCTCTGAATTCTTCATCCTGTGACACACCACAACGTCGCTGCAGCACACACCGCCACTGCTGCCAGTGGGTTTTTTATAGCAAAAATGTCATTGAAATGATGATATAAGAAGGCTGAGTATAACTAGCTAGATTCAGTTTAGTGTTTAGATAGAGATGGCAGTGTGGTGATTGAACTACAGTGGTGGAGTTCTTTACTGGCAGTGACTGAAGAGATGGCAGTAGAGAATGGAGGAGGTCGGCAATAGTATGAGAAAGTTATGGCTTGGCTAAATTGTCTGCGAGGAAAGGGGAAGGGTTCGGCTGATAGTGGACCACTTAAAAACTGATTGAGTTTTATGGGATTTGCTTGACTGTTTTCTCTTTAATTTTCTGTGATGATTCCTTGTGTTTTTCCTCCTCCCCTTTTACTTCTATGTTCGTGTGATTTTATAAAGCCTAGCAGAAGTGTTCTAGGAATCAACTACTGACCAAACTTTCAGATTACTACAAAAAGACCAAATTTATCTAATACAAATTGAAACCAACTTTAACATTGCCACTATCCATTCACCGCATATTTTTTTAATTTTTTTTATTTTTTATCCCTTAAACCAATGATAAATAAAAAAACAAATAAATCAAATAAAAAAATAAAATAATCAAAGATCAGCCCAAAAATAAAACCAAATAAAAATAAAAGAATGACTAATTAAGCATGATAACCTGGGCCCTATTGAGCCAAGTTCAATGAGCTTAAGTTTAGACCAATTGAACCAGGCCCAAATGGACTTGGGCTCGGATTGATTAGGGTGTCTACATAAGCTAATCTACAAAACAAAGGTTATGTTTGAAAGTTGATTGCGCATAAAAAAGGTTGTAGCACCCTTAAAACATCCATCCAAGAGATAGTACCAATTTGATTTCGAATTATCCAATCCTTGCTCATTTTTATAATTTATTAAATAATTTATGAATTTTATCAAAACAATAAAACCTTTCCTAAAATCTTATTCATTTATTTATTATTTTGAAAAGATTATTTCCAAGAAAGTTTTTTTTTTCAAAATATTTTTTTGTTTGAAATATATTTTTCAAAAAGAGATATTAGTGGTAGAAGTAATTTTTTATTTGTTTGGTTCATTTGCTTTTTTTTCTTTTTTTTTAAATAAAAAATAATAAAATAAAGAAAATGGGTTAGAAATAAAATAAAATAAATGAAAAAAAAAAAACTTACGATCGGATCGTGTCAAGACGTGGGTCAGAACGTAGGTCTTCAGGTCGATGTGCGGATCTTAAGCGTTTAAAACAATGTTGTGTAGAGGCGGTATATAAGACACCATTCTGCATTTTTTTCTCAAAACTCCAAAGCCTCTCTCTATACCCCATAAAGCCTCTGACCTCTATTTAGAAAACCCGTCGGAAAGTTCAACTAAAAACTACAAATCCCACCGGTTTATGGAAATTTCACCAAAAAATTCAATCGAAAATTGAAAAACCCACCATTTTTTGGAAAACCTATCGGATTTTGGAAATCTCATTGGAATCTCACTAAAATCTTTAACCTTCGCTGAAAAATTCCATCAGAAAATTTAAAATTCTTCAAAAAACCCAAAAAATTCTAAAAAATTTTTAAAAAATCCAAAAATATTCAAAAAAAATTCCTAAATCATCCTAAACTCTCCTTGAACCTTTTACAACCCTAATCACTTTTAGAAACCTAAATTCACTCCCAGAACCACAAATTACCACTGTAATTCCAATTCTCAAATCCCATAAACTTCTACTGCCAAAATTTTTTGAAAACTTCCCAAACAATTTTCTCTCTATTTTTTGTGTGTTCTCTGCCTGTTATTGTTCTATAGAATTAGTCCAATTTATAGGTAGCCTAATAATCAATTCAGAAAATGGATAGAATCAATCACAGGCTTAATTCTTAGGATTGCATTTTGTCCAAACGAGATTTTAGGGCCAAAATTTCAGCAGTTGTATTAATTTGATTTTGTGTTGATTAAGAGGATTCTGAGCCTGATTTTCTCGTGCAGGTTCAATCAAAAGGAAAGCAAAAAAAGAACAAAAAAAGAAAATAATAATAATAATAATAACAACAACAATAATGAAAGCATCCACTTTGACCAAAATGAGCCATAATGAACCCGATCGAAATAGGCCTGATCGAAATGGGCCTAGTTCGACTCAGATCAGAATGGCTCAATTGGGCCCGAACCAGAATGAGCCCAAAATCGAGCTCATATTAGAATGAGCTCAATTGGACCTAGACCAAAATGGGTGTTTACATATTATATCTAAAAGAAAATGTTTCTAGAAGGGCATTTGCATTATATATGAAAAAATTAGATTCTAAAAAAATTTTTTAAAATATTTCAATATGTTTTTGTAATGTATTAGTGAAGAGTAAGAAATAGACCTTTATTTTTATGCATAAATTCAATATTTTTCCCAGAAAAAATATATCCACTATATAGCTTTCGTACGCCCATCTGCTTTTCTTTTCAAGTTTTCTTGACTTCGTTGAGCCCTCTAGGCATTACACAACTAAAATTCAGTGCTTTGACTGACAGGAAAATGCACCCATCAAATTGCTAGCAGATTTCTTTTCTCATCAAGCTTTCCTTGTCATTCTTTAACTAATATTTATTCCCATCTTAATTCTTTCCTTTTTTTTTTTTTTTTTGTCAATTCCCCTTTATGTTTTAGACATAAATTCAGTTATTTTGCAAGGAAATATACCCCCTTTGTCTTTTCTTATAAAGTTTCACTTTTCTGAAAATCTATGGAATTTATAAATGAATTTGAAATTTAATTTAAATAATTTAATCTGAAATTTAATTTAAATAATTTAAATAATTATTTTTAAAATTAATATTTAATAAAATTTAATTTAATTTATTTTTAATACTTAAAAAATATTAAATGCATAAATATTTATGCCTTGCTTAAACATACCCATCTTCATTTTTTTTAATCAAATTCCCACTGTTGGAATATGGTTTTGATCAAGAACTCAAATCCATTAACACATTCATATAAACATTATTTACCTTCTAATATGAGTTAAGTTTGAATTTCATTTTTAATAGAATTTCACATAAGCGTAATTAGATGTATATTTCTAATGGGATTGACATATTTGTTATATAAGTGGACATATATATTTGTGAAAATAATAAGTATTAATTGTAATTACTTTATAAAAAAATTTATATTTCCTAAACTTCAATTACTTGTTTCATAGACTAAAAAATCACAAAATTTGTTTAAAAAGTTAAAAAAAAAAAATTGAGAGTTCATAAAACAAATATCGATTAATTGATTTTAAGAATTTATATTAATGTTTGAGTAGATAATCCTAAATTTACTAATATTCTCACACTCATAAATAATTTTATATAAATTCAATACTTTTGCAAGGGATTATACCCAGCTGACTGGGTAGCTTTATGTTCTCCTGCGTTTGTGAAAATCTATGCGTTTACATAGACAAAATTTTATTGCATTTACAAGGAAATGCACCCACCTAAGTGGTAGCTGGTCCTATTTTATTTTCTTTGAAGCTTCAGATTTCTTTATGGTTTGGTGGTGATTTTGCGTTTATCTTTAATATTTGAATTAATTAGGAAAAAAAGATGCTATTAAGTTGTATATAATTATTTTGTAAATGTAATTACAGGTGTTCAAAATTCGATTTTATTTAAATTAATTGACCAAATTAATTTAATTTAATTAATTGGTCGACTGTCGAATCGGTTATTGTTAATGATTTTACAAAAATTTTACTTTTCGGATTAACTTTGTTTGAAAACTTTATTAATCAAAATTTTAATCAAAATATAACAAATACAAATATAAACTAAAAATACTTGAATTGACCATTTCATTTTATAAATTATTAGAGTTTTTAATTTAATACTTTGATATTTGAATATTTTATTAGATAATTTGTTTAGTTTGTTTCAAATATGAGAAATTAAAATTTTAAAATATAATTTAAGATAAATATATTTTATTATTCGTTTAACTAAAAAATTAAATAAATTGACTGATTTTCATTCAATCAGTTAATTTGTAAAATTAATAAATTTGACTTGATTAACAAAAATAAGATAATATAATTCAATTTTTTATTTATATTTAAGTGATTTTTCATACTCAAATGGGTTTGTATTAATACTTTGGATTTTATCTTTATTAGTCTATGTTAGCTTTGTAACCATGTGATTACTTTATTATGGCTTAGCAAAAAAAATAATATAATTCAATTAATTTGATTTTAAATAATTTAATTTAAAATTAATCGAATCTATTGAAAGAATATTATCATATGTGATTTTGAAAGAATAATCAGTAGGTCAAAATAGAACACTACAAAAATTTTAATAGATCAATTGGACAATTTTTCCTATCAAATAATTAACTTAAAATAATTTACTTTTGAGATTTTCTATGCCATTCAAGTGGCTTAAGACTTTATTTAATTTTTTTTTTTATGAGAAGTGGCTGAGACCTAAGTAAGATTCTCATATTAAACCATACGAAGAGAGATTACCAAATTGAATTGAATTGGATAAATAACTTAATTCAATTAATTTATGTATTTATAAAAAATAATATCCAAATTTAGAGTTTAAACCTCAATATAAACAATACCTTTTTTATTCACAGTTTGTAACCTTTTTTCTGAAAAAAATAATAATAACAATTTGAATCACGTGCCTCAAACTTTTTTTTTTTTTACATTATCTCCAATTTTTGTGGAAGCATATATGTTGGGATTAAATTAAGTCAACATATATAAGGAAGGAAGATAAAAGTTGTGATGTTAATTTCAACTGCCAGGACACATTTTTGCCTCCCTAATTTGAAAACCATTGAATTTAATGAATTTTTTTTTATTAATTGACTTCTACAAGTCTAAATAGATAAATATATTTTTTGGGGAGGGATTTTTAAAATTTTTGGGACCACTTGAAGGGGGGATAAAATTTACATAAAATTTTTTATGTGAAGTTTCTTCTTAAAAATGATTTAATAAAAACTTTAATAAAAAATTCAAACCAATAAATTGGTAGAGTTCAATAAGAAAATCAATAATATATAAAAAATTATAAAAAAATATTGTTTAAATTTTAAATTTGATTGATATTTATTCAACAATAAATATTTTATTAATATTTTTATTAAAAATATTTATATCAAAATTAATTAAAATTTTTTTCAAATTTTATACACTTGATTTATGGAATGAGATATTTTAATATATTTTTATAATTTTCAATTTTAATTTTTATTTAATCATTTCTCATAAAAAATTTCACCAATTTTACCTTAAAAAGTTCATTTAACTTTTTCCCTTTCAAGTGGTACGCTCCTCTGAGCATATAAATCTCCACGTAAATCTCCATGCAAGCCGGAGGCATATCAAAGCGCCTGATATGGAGAGAGGCCATGGCAAAGGCGCCGCCCACATCTTGATCATCCCATTCCCAGCTGGCGGCTATCTTCTTCCCCATTTGGACCTAACC